AGGAGGGTTTCGCTCAGCCCAGCCTCGCACCTGCCTGCTGCCGCGCGACCCTAGAGGCGAGATTCTGCCGCCTGGATATCGCAGGACCATGGAGAATCCCACCCCTCCCTGAGTCAGTGCGGGCTGAGGTCCCGGCTCCGCACCGGCGCGCCTGCGAGGTGGACTCCTCCCAGTCACCGGCCTTCCTCCAGAGTGGGGGGCTCCGGCCAGAGCCCACAGGACCTGGGTCTAAGGCACCATCCGCGGCCGAACAGTGGCGCTGGAGTCTGTCTGCGTCCTCCCCGCCCCCGGGGTGAGACAGACAGCACCACCCTAGAGCCTCTGGGCCAGGACGGTTGGAGCCGGAGTCCCCATCTGGGCCTGTATGGTCGCCCCAGGCTGCCCGGCCCCCAGCGCGAACTGTGAGCCCAGACTGCGCTTTCCCTGTTCCCAGGCCAGCTGCTGGGCCGGGGCTGGGGGGCTTCTGGTGGCTGGGGCTGAACCGGCTAGGAACAGGGTTTAATAGGAGGGACTCGGGTGGAGGAAAGGCTCCTGCAAAGGTTCTGCCAGTATCAGGTCAGGTGGAGGGAGGAGAGGACCGGTGTGGCCAGGCTGCGGAAGCCAGCGCAGGAGACAAGGGCGGGGGCTGCTCATTACAGAGGCTGCTGGGGGCTTGTCCGAAGAGCAGCAGGCGGCACGGAAAGGCTTGGGGACACAGACACGCTCAGACTTGGCGTTTCACCGGGCATTCTTTAGCTGCCTGCGGGGTGGCTGGGCTGTGTGGGATGACCTGCTTTGACCAGGTTAGGAATTATGACTGGTTTCCAGAGAGAACATTGGTTAGTGATTGGCTATGGGGGAGAGGGGGCGTTGAGCCAACTGGGGTCCCCCTGAAGCGCCAGCAAAGTCTCTGGTTTTCTCCAGGATCTGTTTCCTCAGTCCCTGGCAGGATTGGCTCCGCTGCATGCCATGTCTGTGTGATCCCTTCCAGCCAGCAAACCAGGAGTGAATAAAGTGAATAATGACAACAAGCGCTCAGGCCACTGCCATGGAGGGCGGACCACAACCCAGAGCTGCTCATGCGCAGGGCACCCTGGCCTCCAGGTCCCTCGGAATGGCAGGAGCTGGAGGTGGGAGTGGAGACTGTGGGAGCTGAGCCTGCAGTGAGTGGCCAGGAGCCAGCTGGGGCTGGGCCTGGTCGGTCACTGTTAACCTCCCCCGGAGGTCGTCAGTGGGATAAGCACCTGGGTGAAGACGCCTGCCTGTTTCACCAGTGTCCCTGCCCTCAGTCCCCCAGTCCATGAAGGGTATCTGTGTGAAGACTGGGGGACAGAGGGCAGCGCCATGTGATAATGATACATGCTGTGGCCAGCTGGGCAACGCTGTTTTCAGCTCCACAGTCTGCCAGGTGGGGTGGGGGCTGTGAGCCACAGCAGGAGCAAGCCAGGCCTGGGTTTGGACACCTGCTGCTCTGCCTCCTCCGGGTGCTGATGCAGGAAGGCCCCTTCTCCCACCCTTTGTGCAATGTCTGACCTGAACCAGCTTCCCCAGCCCAGCAACACTGCTCCCCTAATGTGGATGTCAACCTAAAGAAACTGAACCACAGTTCATATAGAGAGTTTGTCTGGGCCAAGGCTGAGAGAGCTGCCCAGGACACACCAAGTTGCCCTGGAAGTGCTTCCTTCAGCCTTATCACAAGCAAGTTTTTAAAGACTGAAGGGGACAGGGAGTGGGCTGATACGAAGTCAGCAGGAATTCTGACTGCTTTCCAGAGAGAACCTTAGTGACTGGCTATACAGTGTTGGACTACAGGGTTATGGTGTCCAGCGCATGGCTTTTTATGTCTACTTGGCGTGTTTGGAACTCACAAAGGATGTGGCTTCAAGAGGTCTTTAGCTCAAGTGGGAGTGGGATGTGACTGCTGTCATTCCACTGCCTCTGTGAGCCAGATAATTAAAGGGGGCTCCCATTCCTCAGATAAAAAGTTCCTTTTCTAACAACTGGCCGGTTAGCTCAGTTGGTTAGAGCGTGGTGCTAATAAAAAGTTCCTTTTCTTTTTCATGGACATGAGCAGTGGGTCACTCAGGCATGAGGACTCCTGGGCCACCTGTGGGTCTTTAGGGAGGGGTCTCATCCTCCAGAGCCCCAGGGATGGGTGATGCGTGTGTAGGAATGGGGGAGCTGGTGCACAGACGTGCATGTCCCCTGTGTGTGTGGACACGGTGGGCGCCATGGCTCTTCACGTCGGGTGCTGTCCACCAAAGGCCTTTGCTCTGTGGCCACTGTCCACCTCCATTTGGCCTCCCAAGTCCTCCAGACTGGCTGGTGACACCTTGGTTTAGTGTCGGGTGACTGGTGTGTGTTGGGGAGCTGCAGGTCCCCTGTCTCTGACACAGGTGTGTCTGGGCAAACACCAAGGTTTGAAGGGGTGGGCACCTGTGTGTATGTGTGTGTGCACGTGTGGCAAAAGGCTTTGCTGCGTGGCTTTTGTGTGGGTCTGTCTTTGAGTGTCACATGTGCCTCTCTGTGTCTCTG